AGAGAGAGAGAGAGAGAGAGAGAGAGAGAGAGAGAGTATTTCAAAGATCATCAATTTTTAATTTCTAAATAGTTTATTTTTGTATTATTCTTAATTTTCACAATTTCAATTTTTCTCTATCTTTGCACGATTAAAAGTTTAATTTAATGCATCTAATCTATAAGTATAACTGACTTGAAATTAATTTGTAAAAAAATTTTTTGAATATAATTTAACTTACATTTTTAGCGACTAAGTACGGTTACATTAACATTGTATACATCGTAAGTAGAGTCGATTACATATTCTCTTTCTATATGCAGCCTATATTGCAACTAAGATCACGAAAAGGGAATAGGTAACGATATTTAACGGTGTCAATCCGACTAACCTAAGTAGTTCATGACTAATTATATCCCGTTAATAATCTCTTAGTTTCGAAAGTGCGATGTATCAATATTATATTAATCAACAGATTTACCGCGCGTTGAATGCTAAATATATAATTAACTCTTAATCTTCCCGCTTTATTTACATCAAATTTGCAATGAAATTCTATATTTAAAGTGTATCTTGCATTGATTGGAATATTGGACCAAGTGCCGATGAATACGTCATTATCGCGATGCAAAATACTGTATTTGCGTATATCCGCTAATACGATCGACTCAAGCCGCTCGAAATCAATTATATCCGATTAGAAACTTTTCAGCTTTGTATAACCTCTCGCGAGAGCTATCGATAGCAACAACGCGAGCGAAAGGGGAGGGGGGGGGAGGTTTAATTAACACGGAGATCAGGTCGGGCAGTCGAATTGGAAATTACTGGCGCGGAGTCGCGGGTAAGGTTAATCCCCGGAAAGCCCCGGCTCACCCCGCGAGCGAGAAACAGGGTGAAGTAGAAAGGGAGAGATAAAATGAGGCGACTCTCCACGGTACGAGACACTTCGAGTTTATAGGTACAGCTTCGAATGCCGAGGCGACGGTCACCTAATTCGTACCTAAGCACCAAAGGTTGCTGCGGCGGCTTTAAATATGTAACGGATGCCACTGGCGCATTGTGTACTCTTTCGCAAATACGAATGCACTGTGTACGTGATGATACTTCCGAGGAACTCTTCGGGCGCGTACGACGGCGTGAATGTTCGCGAGTCGAAGATTTATGACCCCAATGGTCTACGTGCAACAACATCAAACTGATTGATATAAACCGACATTTCATTTTATTTTTATCTGTTAGCTAGAGTGGCGTTTAAAGCGGAAAAACACATTCGCGAGATTTTCAAGCAGGGATTTAAATAAACACAGCCAATAGTAAAACGCGGAAATTGTTAAGCGAAGTATTATAGTGTTAGTGTTCTTAGATTGACACAAGAAATATTTTAAATATTTTATTAATAATATTTTGTTTTAGCGTGCATAGTATAATATTTTATAAAGAATATTTTATTAACTTTTTCATTGGACACGAGGAATATTATTTATTAATATTTTGTACAACGTGAGATAGAGCAACATTCGTTTTTCGAAGCGATTATTCTTACGATCGACAGTCGCGCTCGACGAGAGTAAAATTTTTGGCTAGACCGCAAAGCTTTACCGTGGTTTGAAATGCAAAGCTTTCAATGGTGAGATCCGGTGTGACATTCTGCGCACACGCATGTCGCACGCGCGTCGCGCGTTCGAAAATATTGGGCGTGCGGTAAAAGTGCAGCTCGACCTAAATACCAGGAAGAACCGAAATTTCCGGATTAAATTTTTCGCTAGCGGATTGAGGTTTCGCGTTTGCGAGGGACGCGTTCGCAATTATTAAAGAACGGCGTACTTAGTTTTTGCCGCTGCGCGTATTACCGACGAGAGAGATTTTAGGTCGCGTGAAAGAATAACGTTCCGAGTTCTCTGAAAATGCACATTTCCTCATTATATTCCACTTTACCACTTGATTTAGAATATCATAAAGTATTTTAATATAAGAGAAATCTGATATTTCAAGGTTTGGATAGGAACAGGAAGTTGTGGATAAAGTCGTTATATGTAAAATTCTGCATATGTAGGAAAATTGTAAAATTGTAAAACAAATAAAATCTAAAATGCCGATTTTACTTTAATTATGTATTTTAACAGTTGAAAATAATAGAATAAATGCAATTTAAAATGTCGATTTTAGTACAATTATTTGCAAAATTGAAAGTAATAGAGTGAAATCTAAAATGTCGATTTTAGTATAATTACTTACAAAAATTGAAGTTTGGTTTTTAATAGCATAAACTATGTTTTACATTGTTACAAATTTGTACTATTACTAAAACTACGTTTTACATTGTTATAAATTTGTAACTATTACTAATTGAGATTAGTTTTGATAGCGTATAGCGATTAATAGTGATTAAATTGTCGATTAAATTATATATGAATGATTAAAAGTGAATTAAATTATCGAATATCATCGATAAAATTTATCGAATATCATCGATAACGATAATCTCATAGAAATACTAAAAATCAAATTATTTCTTTCGCAGGTCAGCATGAGCAGGAAAGAGTTTTAGCGACAAGCGCGACGCGAAGCTAAGAACGCATGCCTAAATTAGCCTGGGAAGCGGATAATTTGCTGGTAAGCGGCTAACGGGTCACTCTCCAGGGGATAATAGGTAAGTTCAGAGCATAAGCGCTTCGAGTATCTGCATTACGGAAGAGAGAACTCAGAAGCAGGATTTAAATATCATTTGAAACGTTAGGAGAATATATATATAACCATTGTGTTCTAACGAGAAGTCTCTTCTACGTCAGTTGCTTGAAATTTCTCACAATACGCACTTGTTCGACTAATTAGTTATCGATCGTCAAATCGTGTTCTCGCTCGTGAATGAGAGGCTGCTCCGCCAACTCGAAAAACGAGACGTTTATCAAGTCCGCGCGCGCTGCGGAATGCAATTTCAAGAGTTTAATAAAGCAGGCGAGAGCGCACTCGGGACACACACTAGCAATTTGTGAGTTCGCATAATCGATGTATCGCCGCTGGTCATATTGGAGAGATCTTGCTAGCGTGTGCGTTATCGCAAAGCACGCTCGCTTGCTCGGTGCAGGCGTATTAATGGTATATTCATGCATTATGGAGTAATCTAATGTAGTCTAGAACTACTATTACAATGTCTATCTGTTCTAAATTGAGATATGTCGCAAAATTATGCGTAGAACGGTACAAATTGGGATCTTTAACATCTGTGTACAAGTGACAGTTGCGCGGAATAAATGTCACGATGATACATATATGCAAATGACACATACGCGCGCAACTCGGCATATTAAATAAATTGAGTAATTGCGCGAGAAAGCACACTTTTCGGGATATCGATAATAATTCCATTCGTTTCAATCACTTCAATATTTTGTGAATTTTATAACGGCACACACGTTTACACGAACGCTGTACAAACACCTCACCGCAATTCGACAGACACGTCAGGGTAAATTTTGCCTGTAGCAGTTATACATTCGCAGCAAGCTATACGTACACACATACACATCTCTCGCGCGAGAAGGGATGAAAGCGATGCTCGCAGAGTTGGCGATAAAGAGTGCCGAAGGGTTGGAAAAGGGAGCGCGAGGGCCAACTTCGCAGACAGTTTAAACCCCACGCCGGTCGGAAATCCGCCCATTCCACTCGGCGCGCGAATCCGAGTGGTATACTACTTGACCGTTCAAGTGGGGTCTGAATAGTGAATATCTTCGATATTCGCGGGGAAAGTTCGGCCGCGTGCTTCAACGAGCTCACGTGTTACGATGGCAGACGAACGCCGTGGTACGAAGAGGTCTGTAATAGGGATGGATATATTATGAACTATAATTGTGAAGCACAAAGAGTAAATGAACCGTATTATGAATATTCGCGATGAATTAATTTGTGGAATAGAGAGTTATAACCTTTTAGTCTTAAAAATATATATGTATATATATATAAAGAAAATTATTTATTAATTATATACGTAAATGAAAGCTTACAATTTTCATGAAGCGAACGTGTATAAATGTTGAAATTTTTTTTGAAATTGCAAATATTTTTATCAAAATTAGAGAAAAAGAGATATTCCACGAAAATCAAATAATTATTCATGAATAATGCATAACATTTTATCGTCAGAGAGGTAATATTAATAATTACTCGAGAGATGAGATTTCACTACAGATTTGTTATTAATATTTATGCATTTTTTATTGTTGCAAATAATGCTGTAAGTGTACTTTTGTGCTAGATTTCTAGATGTAATAAGGCATTTTTTTTAAATATCTATGACTCGATTATTATAAAGTTAAATTGGTTAGACGTACTCGCGGTCATAATTGAGTGGATAATGTGAAGACCGAACTACGCCGCACATATTTAATATGCGCGCAAAATTAATGGTTACCCCGGTCGAATGAAATTTTGCTCGAGTACCGACGAGATCGAGATTTCCAATAATACTACGAGAGTACGCCGGCCAAATAGAAATTTTAGTGGCTTTCGATTCAGTGAGTCCGTGCTCTTCGATCTCTCCGCCGTGGAAAATGCGATTTATCAATTTCCATTGATGTACAGAGTGCTTCGGGACTATAATCTACGGATTCTTCAACAAAGCCAGAGTTGAGTTTTCCTTAATGAAAATCTGATTGAGCAGAGAAACCATTTCTTTTTTATAACTTCAGAATCTTAATGCAGAATGTTTGCATCATGTTTTATACACGGACAAAAGATATACCTTATATTTTTTTGTATTTATGACGTTCTGTTTGTTTTCACTTCTGGATATTTCAATAATTCCTAGGACGCTCTAATGCAAAAATCATTGTCGCGCGCAATCGCGCGTTTGTGATTTTGAAATTCGCAAAAATTATGATGTCCACCACGGGTTTATCGCGGATGGACGACAGCGCGTTGATCGACGAATTGCCAGCAAATTGAATTCGGTCAATACGTTTTTGGCCGATATTATTGCGGCGGTCCAATCGACTGCTTTTATTGTCTGCACTAACTGCAGCGGATTTTCGACTGACGAAGGGAGCAAAGGGAATAAAACGAAATAATTACCGGTATCACGCATATTTACAACGCGCAAGGGCCGATGCGTTTTAACCGAAATGCGATTTCGCACCGCGCATTTTCATCAATTTCGCGCGTATTCGAGCTGCTCGACGGTGTGTAATGTGATGCATGATTGGATATCTATTTATCATATAGAAAAATATATTATTCCCTTTAAAAAACCTTGAAAAAACAATCACGGAGTTAAATAATCATAAAATCTTTATTTTCTATAATGATATATTGTCAATTTTCTAATTTACAAATAAATAAAAGATTTTATATGAAAAATTACTATGTACGGCAATAGTCGAACCATGCAGAAATTATAACAATTCCATATATAACAATTTTTACTATGTTTTTCACATAATGGCCATAGTATTTAAACTTATAACTTCTCTTATGATTCGTGACCACTTGCCGAATCATAGTAATTTTTTATATAAAATTTTCTCCATGAAATGAGATGCAAAAGGATTATGCAAAACCATAAAGTCAGAGTAATTAATCGAATATTAGAATAATAGAGTTAATATATTAAAAATTATCGTATTAAAAATAAAGACAATATTAATTAATAATCGTACAATGACATTGAACACCGTTAGATTACTTTAAATTTCTTGCAGCAGTGATCGTTTTAATATTCACCAACGTTTTAATATTAGCCGTATATTTCCAACCGTGATCGCGGGATTACTGTCAAAATTAAATTCCGGCGGCAATACAATATCAATAGCATTCTGACTTTTCAATTGGCAACCGCAGTATTATTACCGGAATGAAATTTCGGTGATAATGTGATATCGGTAATATTCTCACACTTTTCCGTCATGCGCGACCGCAGGATTATTATTCAAAATTAAATTTTGCCGGCCGCTGCGCAGTCGTCGCGATACGTGCGGCCGTCGATCGTAATCGTAGATTTCGTTAATATTACTGATCCGATTGATCGCGCAAACGGACATGGCTGCAATGTACGCGCTTTGGTTCGGTTCCATAAATCCTATCTCCCAACGGGGGACTTATCGATTCATCGGCTAAGTAAAGAGAGCGTAAACGCGGCGGAGCGCGTAATACGCGAGCTCCGGTAATCTGTCTATTCTTACATTATTTCCTCATTATTGAAATTACGTTACGCAAATTGAAAGCATCGAAACAGTTTTGTTCGAAATGTTCTTTAATTCATGCTTTGGCTCTTTTATATATTTAACAGATTTCGTTTATTCATGATACATTCTTTAAAATACTAAGTGCACTATCTTAAGAATAAAAACGCGAAAATAATTCTTAATATCTAATTTCAATTTTTAATTTAATACATCAATGTTAAATATAAGAATTACTAAATTGCACCGATAACATCGTTTACGTTAATTTGGCAATGTGAAATAAGCGAAATGCAGTTTTATTCGAGTTTCCGTGTGCCCGTAGGGAAATTTAATACAATTGGTTAAAATCAATTTTGCAAAATATAATAATAATAATAATAATGAACAATTTTGAATTTAATAATGCGTACCGTTTTCATACTGTATGTTAAACGAGTCACACACATTACGACGGAGTTTCCATAAGTTGCATCGATATCGAACGAGAAACTCCACCGTCCTAATTGAAGTACCATCAACATGTGCGGCAACTAACGAGCCACGTGGTCGCGCTCTCCGGTCGTTCCTATCATGTGGTCCTTTTCGAACGCGACGATAACGACAAATACAAAACCTAACAACGCGCTATCGATAGCGCCGCCGTCTCTCCGACATTGTGCTCGGACACCGCAACCTTTTGACTTCGATGGACCCACACTCTCAAGCATGACCCAAGATAACCCTTTCATCTGAATACGTCTGAATACGGTCCACAGACTTTTGTGTGAAGCCAGTCGGCTGACATTGTCAAATGAACAAAGGAACTATCGCGTATGCAAAATCAGAAATTCACCTAAATATGCAAAATTTAATACTTTCTTTTCAACTAAACTGTTGATTAAAAAATAGGAAGCAAGTCACTTTGTTATGGTTTGAAGCTAACAAGTTTTATAGCATTTGCCTCGCTGCGTAATAATTTTACATTTATGAAAATACATTATAGAATCACTCTTTCCTGATCGAATTATAATTAAACTTATAACGCGGAATAATTGTCGATAATAACTTGTTGTCGATATTCGTGTGGGATTTTTATTTTTTATATTTCACACTGGATCAACTGTAAAGTGGTTAGATTACGACCCGGTTTCGAATTTTCATCTGATTAATATCGTTGCGATAACTGCAGTAATGCAGTGATTATATCGCGACCGTAATTTCGATATTTGCACGGAGCATCCGCGACTTCCAAAAGCGTGCATGTACACGTGTGTGCGTGGCAAATATTATTCCAATAATTACATATCGAAACGATGCTTAATATCGCGTCAGAATTCGCGGCGGTAATAGCTGAAAACATAACAAAATTTGCACATATTTATGAGATTTTATATTGACGCAAAAGAGATACATCAAAATTCTATTATTTAGAGAGGGATTATTTCAATTTAACAAGTATTATTTATAATGATTGTAATAATAATTAATCGAAAAT